GTGTAAAAAAAGTAAAAAAAAAGCAGCTATTAAACTGAAAATTACATAGAGGCCCCAACAGTAGAATTTAATATCAACATTTTCAGAATGTAGTATGTCCACCTATTGTGTTTCATTCTTTATAGAAGACTTGCTTTCAGTTTTTCAAAGAAATCTCCAGAGATATTTTTCCACTCCTGTAAAGCTTGGGACATTAATCTGTTTAAAATTGGTTGCATTTTCTGCTTGTCACAATCCAATCCCAAACACGTTTAATGATGTTGAGGTCTGGTCTCTGGGGTGACCAGGCCATTGTTCCTAGAACACCATCAGCTTCTTCATTTGGTTTGCAAATTTAAACTACTTCCTTTTCTCTATGAGGGCTTTCACTTTTTTTCACTTATTTTATTTTGACTTTCCCCTTCCCTATCTTACATTTAATCTCTTCAGAAGTATCTACTAGAAAAATAATAATTTGTATTTAAATTGCATTTTGGCTGGAAATGATAAAAATGAAGGTTGGTCTCTGACTTTTCACAGTACTGTATATGTTGCTTTATAAAGTGTTATGCATATAGCTGTAGCTACTTATGAGCAATTATAGAAGCTTGTGCAAGGCATATAACACATCATAAATGCATTTTATTGCAGTATGAATACAGGATTCATAGGAAGTATTACCTTTAATGGAGGTGCCACAAGTTATCCCATAGGATGAATCTCAGACAGCTGTGAAAATTCACAGACATTGCTATGGGAGTACAAGAAAGTAACCAAAGTTATGTTATGTCCACTTGAATATGTTTCACAAATTAAAACCTCCATTTTACGTTTTACACAGTGTTCTGTACTTTTTTCACTGCTTATACCTAGTTAGCTATCTTGCTGTTTGGCCTGTAGAATTACTAGCATCCAAGTTTTAAAATTACATTATTCAGACAAAACTAGGTTAAACTAGTGTAAATTGGTCCAAATAAATGGCCAAAGATTTTTATGAAAAACGTCATAGTTTTGTATATGCCAAAATAGCTGTGTAGTTATCCTATGTTTCTCCAAGTGGTCTTTAAATAACCAAACAATTACTTACTCATTCCTGTTATCTTTCGAAACCAGATGACTGGGACCTCATATAAACTGCTTAGCATGTTAAAAAGAAAAAGTAATCAACTCCTTTTCTCAAAAATCCAATTAATACTAAGGGCTTCTGTTATTAAGTGGTGCACTGGGCTCTGATGGAGAAAAATAAGCTTACAAGGAAGTTTAATTTCAGAGAACTTGTGTGTGGCTCTACCAATACAATTGAGAATATCCTTCCAAAAGCTATTTTAAGGGGAGGTGATCACAGCAGTCAGAGCAAAGGCACGGACATTTAAAACTGCCGCCCTGTCAAAATCTCCAAAGCTCCAGCTACAGAAGTGTGACCAAATCTTTATGTGTTACAAATAGGAGAATAATACGAATGGACATTTATAACAGAGCTTGAGCTTTAGCAAAGCCAGCAATTTTAAAATCATGAATATTATTGAATTGTATTTTAAGCATCCTAACGTCATCAAAATGCGAGATATTCTTGCAATCCAAGAGAAAAAGAAAAGTGGAGATGCAGTTTTCTGTTTTATGGCATTTTATTTTTTTTTTTTATAATCTGCTCAGGTTTTTACCATGCAAATTCTGGACAGTTCTGAGGTATGAAGACACAAATTGATCCAGTTTTGAAATATTATTGTCATTCTTCATACAAATCTTCAGCTGCTCAACTATGCAGGACCTTTGTATTTAGAATTTTGTAATGCACCTCACTTTTTTCAATGCAAGGCAGGCAGGCAGGCAGGCAGGCAGTCTGATTATGCAGTATTGATGTTTTAAAATAAGTTAACACATCTTCTACAAAGAATGCATATGGCATACCTTTTGGTTTATAATATTTAACCTTATATTGCACAATGTTGCCTCAGGGCAACAAATGCATTTTCCTCACTTTACAATAGCATTACACATATTTAAGACAATAACAGGGCTAACAATAAAAGGAAGAGTTTGAGTAAGCCAATGAAAAGCATGTACTCATACTATCTCTTAGTGGGCACATTTAAACCTCTTTTTTAATATTCAGTATCAACTTTCTTTAGTTATGAGAATTTGCAGAAATATGTGTTTTGCCTAGAAGCAACATTAGATAGGACTGAAAGATTTTTTGGTGAAAAATAATTTCCATTTTTCTGCTCCACCTCATTTTTCCAACTCTGACCAATATCAATGTAGTGCCGCATTTTCTCCACCTGTTGATGAGAGCCTTCACAGTGCTCTCTGGTACATCCAGTGCTATTGATATTCTTTTATATCATTCTCCTGATCTGTACCTATAGATATTTTTTCAAGTTATTCCACAAGTATACAATCATGAAAACATAAGGAACAGCTACAGGAAAAGATGTATTTTAATCAGAATTACTTCACTGTGGCAGGTATTTGCTGCTTATTTTGGGCCATCATTCTGAAGGTGATTTGTTAACTCTGACAACAGCTATTGTCCCGATTTTTTATTTTTTTTAATTATTCTTCTTATTAATAATCTTCTTCTTTTTCACTTGAATTTTGTTAGTAGCAAGATTTCTGGCTTCACCTCAAAACAACCCTGTAATTGCAATATGGGTGTATACATTTTTATATGCACTGTATAAAGAATTCTTGCACAGAAAATAATAACACCTGAAGGTTGAAGTGGTTGCTTGTAACCTCAAAATGCTTCACCAAGGGACCTAAGAACACATGATATTCAAGTTTATCCTCTTAAAATTTCAGGCTTGCTATATCCTATGGTGTATTGTTCAAAAGCAAACTGGCTGAGATATTATCAAGTTACAGGAATAGAAAATGGAAGTCTGGTCATTGGTGGCTCCTGGTCATTACAGGGGTAAAAACACATCAACTCACAAGGGAAAATCAAACTTAACAAACAATAAGTTAAACAACTAACCAAAGCATTTATTTATTCACCCTCACACACATAGCAAAGGAAATCTCAAAGTTTGCTATAAACCTAAGACTGAAGGTTTTGCTCCAGTCATTACTTGCTGCAGATAAAATAAAAAGATCTTAGATATCATCGAAGAGAAAAAGTTGTTGTTATAACCTTGCTTTCTAGCGAAAGTATTGCACAATATCTAAGACTGAATCTCACTACAAGTCTGTGCCAAGTGAAATTAAAAAAGTGGTGATAGGAGTCTTCTGTAGAGCTGAGACAGAAGTGTGTATTTTTTGAAAGCCTCTATTTGGCAGTATTGGAAACTAACCTGCTATTCCCCATGGGGGGATTTTTTATTTTTAGGAAAAGGTCCTGTTATTATTGCACATATTTTGTTTTTGCTGGACCACCTTTCAGGCCAGCCCACAAAAGTCACAGTCTTTTTCTGAGTCACTGACTGACTGACTGGCTGACTGATATCCACTGCTGAAATGCACATACACAAGCGCCTCCCGAGACAAACAGTAGGTAGTGGTATATACCTAATTAAATGAAGTGAGGTCATTATCCCATTGCTTATAATCAAAATGCAGGGCTAACCCACAAATAATTAAAGAAAGCAGAAAGCTCATTTACTGAAATATGCCATGGGTCTTAAAAACATCAAAATCTTTTCCTAGTCACAGGTGAAATAACACACCAGTGAGTACCGAGTGTTTATTTGAGCTCAGACTGTACAAGCCTTATGTTGGAAATTCTCACCTGGCAGTATAAGCAGCCTTATTTAGCAACTTTTCACTTTTTCAGGTGATGACACAGTCATTAAGCACTGAAGCCCTTAAGTGAACCATGATAGTACATGGATGCACTGATCACTATTTTTAGAATCATCACTTTGTAAAGAATGTTAGCTCAGTGTCACCAATGTTAGCTCAGTGAAGCTATAATGCTAGCACTATTAGCTTATATGCTAGCAGCTACAGTACACTGATATTTACACATTTTCAAGAGAAACTGGTGAATGTATTTGGTTTTACACATGATTGTATGTAACTGTAACATACTGTGCACATTTACATGAGTGATAGAGTAGAAATCTTGTCATGCTAATTACAATCCTAGAGTCGGCTCATTTTAAACCTAGCTAGAGAGGAAAATAACATTATTTTATTATTTTATCAGATTATATTCAGTATTTTCTGAGACTTGTGTATATATAAAATTGAAAAGTAAGCTGATGATCAGTAAGGAGATGATCACCATGCTGGGAAGGAGATCTGATAGAGACCTAGAAAGGACAAATTTAATTTTATTGTTAAAACAATTTATTATTACAGGGTATTTATAAGCTGTGAGGTTATGATAGAGCAAAATCCTCATTGTCCCAATGGTTAATAAAATATAATACTTCATACATTTCCCACAAGCTTCTATGGCTGAATTGGAGAGAGTTACACTATTACAACAGAAAACACCTTGCTCTGTTACTCTTTTATAGATTTTTTGTACAATACTGGTTACATCTGGATCTAAAAAATGACACGTTTGGCATCCATGGTGCTCAAAAAAAGGGGTCACTGACAAAAGTTGGAAAAATTTAACTCTTTACAGAAGATTCAGCTGACCGCTGCAGTCTGTGGAATGTTGCAGCTGGTGGTGACAGAATTTTAGTAACAGCTACATTCAAAACAACTGAATATCTGATTTGCTGTCATCCATCTGTGAACAGCTGAACCAGCATTCACTCACTGCAGTTCAGCAGTTTGTTTTCATTTAAATGTGTTTTTCGTTAAAGTTAATTCTAAAAGAAGCAAATAAGCGTAAGAAGTAGGTCTAATCTGCAGCTGCAGCTGATCTGGGGTCTTGGAGGAAACAATGTAATAAATTTTTTTATAAGTATTATTTTTTTTTTTTTCAGTATTTAAATTGCTAATTATTCTTAGATGTCACCCAGGTCTAGAATATATATACATGTTTTTGGATATGAAAGTATAATGTGTGTGTGCGTGTGCATGTGTGAGCATGTATGTGTGCCTGTGTGTTATTTCTGCATTACCTGGGCCAGAGCAGAATGAAGCAATCACAGCCAATATGGAGATGAAGCTTAGATACGGCATCCACGAGAAACTGTCCTACAGAGGAAGAGAGAGAGCAAAAAGAGAGAGATGAAATGAAGAGTGAGGGATGGATAATGAAGCAATGAAAGTGTCTCTGTGTGTGCGGGAAGCTGGAAGTCATTCAGGATTTTCCTCTGATGAAGCAGCCGCATGCTGCTAATCTTTTTGTTTAGCACGGTGAAATTGGGCTTAAACTTCAACAGCTAGTGAAGCGAGAGGTCACATTATTAATATTCTATTCTAACATGAGAAATTAATCACATACCCTGAAAGACTGAGACAGACAGAGAGGGAGAGAGAGAGAGCAAGAGCGGAAGATGCTCAGAGAGGCATGACTCTGTGAAATATGTTTATTAAATGTATTAACATTTTGACTGCACATACTCATTGTGAGAATTGCTCAGCATCCAAACTCTGGAGCCTACAATTAGACTTCCCATCCGCCAGAATGACCGCCAGTGCAGAGCAGAGAATAATAACAACAATAAAGCTAAAAATATTAGCACAGCATATTGAAGAGTTATAGCTGACATCATACAACTACTACTGCAACTACTATTAGTACTGCCTCTACTACTACACTATTAGTATACTATTACTACTTCTGCTTATATTATTATTGCTACTATTACTACAGTTCAACTAAATTACTAGCGCAACACATCGGACAGTTATAACATATACTACTACTATACTACTACTTTGACCACTATTAGTACTTCTGCTGCTGCTCATACTACCACCGTTACTATTATTATTACAACTCCTTATATTATTATTGCTACTATTACTACTGTTCAAATAGCATGACACTTTGATCCATTATAATTGATGTTACTCTACTACTACTATGATTACTATTACTATTAGGACTGCTGCTGCTACTACTACCAAAATTAATTCTGTTACTATTACTACTTATACTACTAATACAATGATTAGTGCTACTACTACTATTACCATCAAACTAAAAATACTAGCACAAAACCATGAACAGTTATAAAAGACATTATACTACTACTGCTATGATTACTATCATTAATACTGCTGCTAGTACTACCAGCGCTATTAGTACTATTACTACTACTACTTTTACTTTTATTATAACCATTATTACAATTCAACTATAAATCTTACCATGACACAACGAGCAGTTATGAAAGACATAACACTACCACTACTATAAATATTATTACTATTAGGATTGCTGCTACTCTTCCCACTACTAATTTTTTTTGTATTTACTTTAGTATTTTACTATTACTACTTCTACTGCTACTACAATGATTAGTGCCACTACTACTATTAAACTAAAAAATATTTGCACAAAACCATGAAGTTATAACAGACATTATAATACTACTGCTACAATTACTTATACCATTAATACCACTGCTAGAACTACTACCACTATTAGTACTATGTAGAATTTTATTACTGCTGTTACTACAGTTCAACTAAAAAACTAGTATGATATTTTGAGCAGTTATAACAGATGCTTTACTACTACTACTGTGTTTACTACTACTATTACTATAAGTACTACTGCTACTACCACTATTAATACTACTGCTATTACTACTTATATTACTACTCCTATTTTAGCTATATTTTTAGCATTATTCTCATTAAACTAAAAATGAGAACATGACACATGAACAGTTTTAACAGACACTATGCCACTATTGCTACAATTACTAATATAATTAATACTGCTGCTAGTACTACTCTCACTATAAATACTATTACTATGACTATCTAAACTATTATTACTGCAAATACTACAGTTCAACTAAAAATACTAGCATGATATACTGAACAGTTATAACAGATGTTATATTACAACTATTATTACTACTATTAATACTGTGAATACTAATACTATTAGTACTGTTGGTTCTACTATGAGTACCATTATTAGTATTCTTACAATGCAACAACTAGGACTGCAATGACTCATAGAAAGATTTAATTTCTTACCAACATACCTCACAAGTTAGCTTACATCAAGATTACATAGACAGACTTGACGACTGTTTAATTCCTTCATGTTCATAATGTAGCTCATCCGGCAATTTGCATCATGATATATTCACTGTTAATAATTTTAACCCCTTAAAATCCCAGACTTATTACATACCACAGCTTATTATTAGTAAATACACAGACTCACTGCAAACTGGCTGAACTATTCTAATATTCTTATAGGTTATGTAAGTAAAACAAAACTCTGGGCCTGCCAGTAGGCCCTGGCCATTTAAGGGGTTAAAGTAAATAGTCTAATGTAAACACTGAGTGGGTAGAGTGGCATGCATTGTTTGAGGCATGACAATAGCACATAAAAAAGTCGTTTTTTAGCACTGGGACCCAGTTATGCCCCTGACTACTTTGACTAATTATAATATCCTGTCGTTTCATGCAGTAGTGAGGTGACATTATTTCTGCATGTGTATACAATCACACAGAAAACCACACATACTGTCTCAGTGAATTAAGTGATCTTTTTGGGAAGGCAATAACAAACATCCATCCATCCATCCATCCATCCATCCATCCATCCCTCCGTCCTCTAAGCTATTTATCCTTCTGGGTCACGGAGGGTGTTGGAGCCTACATCAGCTTTCATCACACGGAAGGCAGGAAACACCCTGGACAGGCCACCAGTCCATCGCAGGGCAGACACACAGACATACACATCCGCACACACACATTCACACCTAGGGGCAATTTAGCATCCCCAATTGGCCTGACTGCATGTCCATGACCTCATTTCCTCAACATGATAGGACAACTTGACGTTTTTGCTCAAGTGAGGACATTTTGCTGGTCCTCACTTGAGCATGCGTTGTTTTCACCACAAATTACATTTTTGGAAAAACTAAAAGAGCAGAAAAATTGCCTTTTGAATACTGAGGCTAAGATCAGGGTTAGGTTCAGGTGTAGGTGTAGTATTATTTAGCTACAGTAATACAAAAATCAAGAGAAACCTATGGAAGTCCTCACAAGTATGATAAGACAAATGTATGTGTGTACACAAGAGTGCTGTGAGGGTTGTAATTGAAAAATTAGGCATGATTATTTTAATTAAATGGCACAAGGTTGATTAACAGAGCAATCTCTGAATAAGACTGATTTAATGAGTGTAACAGAAACAAGCTCAAAAGATTTCTGTTCAAAGCAAGCATAGCTGAACTAAAACTCATATTATGCCCATAACATATGGAGCCCTAAGCAACACCTACTTACCCCCACCCCCTCCAACCCTAGCCACCCAAATGATATTCTTTTTTGCAAGTATAAAAAAGAACATATTAATGAATTCAGTTTGATCAGGGAAAATAAGAATCTCTGGACTCTGGAATCCACTTTTTTTTCTATGCTTTAATTGAATACTTTGTTTCAAAAATACATTCCTCTGGACCCCGGAGTGGCTTGGGGGACCTAAGCGACTTCTTAAACCACTTACACTAGAAATGGCCCTGATTCCTATGTAAGAAGATTGTTAATTAGGACTACTACCGTTGCATATTGTGCTAAAGCACCCATATGGTATTGAAAATTTGCCACTGCAACATCCTAAGTCACCAGATATCCTTGCAGAAAGACTAACAATCCTTGTACCAAGACTAACAATATAATAAACTAGACAGTTCATACAGCCCAAAATGATCCTGAAAAACAATGTCATGACCCTAGAAACTCTTGTGCTTGTGTAGAGTCAGTCACTTAGAGACGCTGGCTATTCTTGTCCATCGGTGGTACAGCCATAACATATTTCACCAAAAACATCCTAGTCAGTACAGAATTAAATGCTCATAAACAATCACACCTTTTCCCTCTGTGCAAAACAGCAATTTTTCTAGTCTGTCCATTCATTAACATTTTCCAATAGGAATACAAATGATTCTAAAATAATGGAATGCAAATGAGGAAGGTCAAAGAATGAAGCCTCAACAATGGAGGAGAAGTGAATGAGGAAAGGTCGGCTCACACTGGGAGAGAATGCCCACACAATAGCAGTGTCCAGCAAATGCTAAGAATTGTGTGTTCACTGATCAGTGATGATGTCACATGCAGGATAAAATAACACCACAAGCCAGTAGAACAGCTTCAGTGCACCTTGGCACAGATTCTGCCAGCCTCTGGAGCTGTACTGGAGAGATAGAACACAGATATTACCTCCACTGGTTTTGATGGTGGTGGAAAGCGCTGTCCAACATTCCAGTCCAAAATCTCTCACAGGTTAAAGTGAGTGAAGGACTGGTAAATGCTGAAATGTGTAGCACGTAAAAATTATCCATCTTCTATTGCATCACTCACTGCAGAATTCCAAACTGCTTCTGGAAGCAACATCATAACAAGAACTATGCATTGGGAGCTTCATGAATTATTGGGAGCCTAAGATCACTATGTGCAATGCCAAGCGTTGGCTGGAGTGGTGTAAAGCATGCCACCACTGGACTCTGGAGCAGTGGAAGCAGGCCCTGGAGTGATGAATCATGCTTTACTATCTGGCAGTCTGAGAGACGAATCATAAAGACATGGTTTGGTGAGTTTGTTGTGGAGGAACTCCAGTGGCTTGCACAGAGCTGGCTGGAAAGTTGACCGTGAGCCATGTCTTCTTGTCCAACAGTGTCTGACCTTACAAATGCTCTTTTGACTAAAGGGGCACAAATTCCTACAGACACTCTTTAAAATCTTGTGTGAAGCTGTCCCAGAAGAATGGTGGCTGTAGCTGCAAAGGCTGGCCCAACTCCACTTTACTGTCCATGGTTTTGGAATGGGACATCCAAGAAGTTCATATAGGTGCAATGGTCAGGTGTCCACATACTTTTAGCCATAGTGTTTGCAAATATTTGGGCACCCTTGACCAAATTGCATCTTTTGTTGATTTTTGAAGTTAAAAGAAGTCTACAAAACTATTTTAAAAAATAAAAATTTTCCACAACTGTTAATGCACAATTATTTTAGATAGATTGACTTCACTTAAAAATAGAGAAAGCTAAACTGTATGATGTAAAAAGAATTTTCTATATAAACCTAGCCCTGACCATAAACTCAGCATCTAAAAGGAAATGGCTCTGAAAGCATTTGCAACAAGATTTAAGAATTCAACTTTCACCTATGCCAAGACCTTGTTGCTAACATAAATATCTATCACATTCAAACATAGGCATTAAATTCACAACTGTTCATCTTCAAAACAAAATAATGAACTTATGTTTAGTCCAGACCTTTGACTGGTACTGATTGACTATCAGCTTTTATAACTTGATTTCATATCATGATGTCATGAAGGCATCACTGACCTGGAAATGCAGGAAGATAGTAAGGAGACTAAAACACACAGCCATCGCCGAAAAACCAAAAATCAACAAGGGCTTCCTTCCAACACGCTCAATCACCAGACCCTGAAAGAGAGAGAGAGAAACAAAAATGGTTAGTGCTCACTATTATAGTTAGCTGTTAATGGGCAATTGTGTTGTTGTAGGTTGTTATTGTAATAAGTATTGTTACACTACCAGAGGTCCCTTTCCTTAAGTAAAAGTACAAGTACTCAAGTACTTTCATAAAACATACTCTTGTAACACCTGAAGTATAGTTAAAACTTTTTACTCAAGTATAAAAGTAAATTTAAGATGTGCTTAAAGTAAAAAGTGAATTTATGGATTCAGAACGTGTCTTAATTCAATTTTTGAAATATAATATATATACGCGTGTATATATATATATATATATATATATATATATATATATATATATATATATACGTATAGATAGATAGATAGATAGATAGATAGAAAGAGAGAGAGAGAGAAAGAGATGGGAATTTTTTCTTCAGACATAGTTGCACTTTTTAGTATATGCTGACTTGCCACTATTATTTTCTTTGCATTCTACGGCTGCATTCAGACAGTAGAATGCTCAAAATCTGCATCTGAAATGCGCCTGTAACATTTTTGCAAAGCAGAGAAGGGGAGGAGCAGACCTTTGTGGGCAGTGTTATGGACGGGAGGTTCAACACCACATCACACTCTACTGTGCTAAAGACAATGAAAAATAGTCCATGAGGTTTAATACTTCCTAATCAGCCCATGTGAACATTAGCAATGTTAGCATGTCGCCTTGAACACCATAGTTAGCAACGAGACATAACATTGGTGTGCAGCAAGCTTCATTGATAGCAATGGAGAAGATACCAGTGAATTAATATTTATCTTTAAGTCAAGTATTTTTGGATTCGCAAATGCAAGTAACACTGCCCTGCTGTACAGCCCCACTTTCATTCTGAAAGTGTTGGTTAACTCCTGAAAAGTGACACATAACGATCGGAGCTTTTCCACTGAAGTTGAACATTTTTCAATTTAACTCATGATCTGCGATGGAAAAAAAATAGATCAATAAAATAGATGTCAGACTAATGAGCCTGGTTTAAAAATGTAGTGAGTAAAAAAGTACAGATTATTCTTTTGAAAAGTAGTGAGTAAATGTAAAAAGTATTAAGTGACAAAACTACTCTACATTACAAATGAGTAAAAGCTTTTACTTAAGCACAGTAACAAAGTGCTTATACTATGTTATTTCCCACCGCTGGGTGCTACGTATAAACAGTATCAAGTATGTCCAGTATTGAGTATGAGTCCAGAATCAACACTACAAACAATGCACATAATCAAATTTTGTCACCATTTAGAATACTCAGCATTATAGTGCTTAGCATTTTAAGTGCTATAATACCATTCAACCCCCTTAACATTATTATAGCCCTACTAAACACTGCTCTAGAAGGTTAAGTGGCAGGCCTGTGCACAGACTTTTTTGGGGGGTCGGGGACAAGGCTCAAGGAGAAAAAGGGTCACATCAACATAAGCTAAACTTAATTTCATTGACAGTATACTGCAATCACTTTTATAAATGTAGATGGCATAATATGTTGAGATATAAACTAAATGTGGTTTTAAGAGCTTTTCCCAAGGCCATATATTAACATTATTTTTATTGTTATTACATTAACATTATTGCCATTAACGTCACTATCTACACAGGGATTAAAACCCTAGTTGCCAGTGTGGAAAGCTGTGGTGTACCTCTTACACTATTTAGTAACCTAATATACAGTTATAACTCTATTTCAGAGCTCCACAGGTCTGGTAGAACACAAGCCAGCCCATGTTCTTGAAGAAAGGCAGAGGCAATATAAAATACCAACCAAGAGGGTACTGGTAACCATCTGAGGGCTTTATCTGTGCACATGCCTGCTAAGTGACAAGAAAAGAGAGCAAAGAGAGAAAACAGTAAAGAGAGCAGTCAGTGGCAGCCTCCTTACAACTAAAGTTAGAAACCAACACATAAAAGTAGTTCACTCAACAGTTTTATATAGTAAACAGAAAGCTATCCGGCCCTAAAGGACAGTAAATTGTGGCAGAGCACTGACCATGGTGGCTGATGATAAAAAACCACCAATCCTCTATGAAGCCTCACTCACTGTGAGGTTTTGGCTGGAGCACAGCCTTCTGGGATTTTTGACTCGGTTCACTGAGTGCTCAGTGGTTGCTGCTAAAGGCCTGAGGATGTCTGATTCCAACTGCACATAGAGGTCACACTCACACACACCCATATACAGATAGAGCACTTCAGAGTGTCAAATCCACAAACACAACCGCAGAGAGAGGCGACACACGCAGGTTTGTTTTTAAATAAAGTCACTATGTGGGGTTCATGGTTATGTCACGTAACAATAATGTAAGGATCTATATATAATAATAATGGGCCTCATTCACCAATATCTTCATAAGTTTTTTCTTAAATTTATCCTTGAGAAGTGTCCTAAGAAAAAAGTCTATGCCAGATTCATGACGTGCCCCTTTGTAGTCTTGTGTGTGCACTGGTGAGTCTCAGAAGTGTGTTTAAAGAAGAAGTTCCTTCTTAAGAACAGCTGTTGCATGAGGCCCATTGTCCAGTGTGTATTAAACGGCCATTAGACACAAGTTATTTATTTTCAAGAGATACTTCTGAGTTTCAATTTCAAAATTAAACCATTAATCACCACAGTATAGGCAGCATATTAATTGCCCCACAAGGGGTAAAAACACACTGGACCGCTGCTACACTATTCTCAAGGATGCATATTCTCTGATCACTGCTTGGTCCATCTTATTCCAACCTACAGGCAGAAACTACAATCTGCAAAGCTTGTGGTAAAAACAGTGAAGAAATGGACCAAAGAGGCAAAGCAAGAACTGAAAGGTTGTTTTGAAAGTACCAACTATAGTGTTTTTGAAGCTGGAAATGACATCCAGGATGAACTCACTGACACTGTGACATGTTTAATTGGTTTTTGCAAAGAACTTTGTGTGTCTACCAAGACCTTCCACACATGCAACAATAACAAGCTTCAAAAAGGCCAAGAGAGATGCCAACAAAAGTGATAGAGATAGGTCTCTGTACAAACTGACAAAGGAGATCAGTGTGGCTAAAAGAAGCTATATAGAAAAGCTGAAAAACAGGTTTCCAGCCAACGACCCTGCATTAGTGTGGCAAGCTCTTGCAGACAAACTGCAGAAGACCACCCACTTCTCTCTCTACAACAACAACTGCACCTCTATGGACAGATCTATTAAACTCCTGAAGTTTGCAAATGACACTATGGTCACCGATTCATCCAGGATGGAGACAAGTCTGCCTATCAGCGTGAGGTTGAACAGCTGGAGTTCTGGTGCAGTCAGAACAACTTGGAGCTGAACATGCTTAAGACTGTGGAGATGACTGTGGACTTTAGGAGACAACCCTTCCACACCGCTCCCCCTCACAATATCCAACAGCCCTGTGTCAACTGTGGAGACCTTAAAGTTTCTGGAAACTACCATTTCCCAAGACCTGAAGTCTCATCAACTCTATCTTCAAAAAGGCCCAGCAGAAGAGCTGCTGAGCCAGTTTTACATCACCCGATAAAATGAAAAAATCATTGGTGCTAGCCTGTCCACCCTCTAGGTACTCTTGCACTCTTCAAGAACCAGGAAGTGGGCACAAAAAATCATTATAGATTCCTCGAATCCTGGACACAACCTTTTTTAACTCCTCTTTTCTGGCAGGCGCTACAGAACCCTGTATACTAAGACTTCCAGATACAGAGCAGCCTCTTTCCTCATGCCATCACCCTCATAAAAAGCTGACAGATAATATCATTTGCTGGGCCAAAGCTACTCCTGCTTTTTATCGGGACAGTTATTACACACAGCTTCTGATTCATACCACTGTGCACCACAATTTCATTTCCATACATGATGTAGATCACTGTTGCTTGCACTACTACACACACTTATGTATATTGCTTGCCCCTACATAATCTGTATGTTACTTGTATATTGTGTATTGTCTGTAAATGATATGTACACGGTCTGTATATTGCATTTAATACTAATGGCTGGAACCAAATTCTTTGTGTGTGTCAACTACTTGGCAAATAAATCTGATTTTGATTCTGATTTTGATAATTATTGACCTGATAGTGGAAATGGGCATTTCCTGACTTGTGCAGCTCAACAATGTTTTGTCGCACATCATTGCTGTATTATCTGGTCTTTCTCATACTGATGGATCATCTCATATATATATTCCCCAGAGAATCAGGAAGTTATAGCTGGCCATTTAAGAGTTCACTCAGGTGAACTAAGGTATGAATGGTAATACACTTCAATTTCAGTCATCATACCTTAAATAAAGGGTAGATTTTTGCCAGTATTTTGAATGAAAGATCAAAAAGAATCAGTCATTAAGAATATTTGTTACAGCTCATTTTGCTCATGATTACCAGGGTTACCAATATTTGTGGAGGACACTGTATATATACACACACACACACACACGCGCACACACACACACACACACACACACACACATACACACACACGCACACACATGCACAGACACATTTTTTCTCTGGCTTTTCTATAAAGTCAGGACATTTTTTTGTTTTGAAATGAAAAAAACCAAAACATATAAAGACTGTGGAACATACACAGAGATACACTTGCACACGTACAGAAACAGGCACACATGACCATCTATGCTAGATTTCCATTATGCCTCAGTGCATTCTTTCCCTCTCACACACACATGCACACGCAGAATATGACAGCGGACTAATAGAAACCTGCGTGGAGTTGGTGAGAGTGTGTTTGCCTGCAGCAGAGCACTCTCTAAAAAGCTCCTGCTTTATAAATAGTAACACTCTGCTCAAATCTGGCCCTAGGTTATGGCAGGTCATGTGGTGCCTGCCTCTTTTCTCTCTCTCGCTCTTTCTTCGCTCTTCTCTCTCTCTTGCTCTCTGGCTCTCACAGATATATAGAAATTTTAAGCTGAAGGCGTATTTGAGAGACAGTAACTTTGATTAGATTTGCCACCTTACTCT